CTACTTGCAGGATCAGGGAGACTTAGTAAGTAGGTTTATAACCCCTATAGCATATAGTAACTCTAATTATCCCCATCATCATTAGCTACTAACTAAGCCGCCCTGACCCTGAACTCTAAACCCTAAACCCTAGCCTACTTATAGGGGTTATGAGCCTACCCCTAAACTCTGAATCCTAGACCCCTAAACCCTACACCCTAGAGTCAGATTTCTCTAAGGTGTTTCGCCTGGCCGGGCTTGCAACTGTCTGGTTGAGCAATGTTTGCAGCTCACCTTTGCGGCTCTATGCTTTTCTCTGAGAGCCCAACGAATCTCACACACACGCAATGACAAAATGGGACCCGAAATGAGAGCCAACCACATGAGCCATTGTCTAAGCTCCTAGTATCCTCCTTACTAACCCTCATAATAATCCCCATGTAATGGCCTCTAGAACCCCCATTAAGGAGTTTAGACTATAGCTCACATGTTCAACACCAGTTTGGAAACCACGCTGGATCTGCTTGTACAGACCGCAAGTAAGATGCTGGACCCCATCCCTTAATGCGAAACAATCGCAGCCATCCTAGTCCATGAGCCGTAACACTTCAGAGTACTCCGAAAGCCAGAATTCCCTAAGCCCCAAACCCTAAACCCCTAAACCATAAAATTCTAAACCCTAGGCCACTAATCCAAGGCTCCCCAGTAGCGGGCCCCACTGCGACAGCACCGGTGCCGTGCGCCGTGAGAAGTCCTGCAATAAACTTCATGTAGAAGTCGTTTACCCCAAGGCTCCAAATAGCCCAATGTAGGTCATATCTATAGACTTTGGGGCCCAATGTAGGCATTATTTATAGACATGGAGCCCTAGGGTTAGGGTTTAGGGCTTCATGTAGAAGTCTACATGAGCTATAGTCTAAACTCGTAGTATCACCCTCAATAACCACTATAGCTATAGTAGTCCCCTATATAACCCTTTCTAAGGGCATTCGACTACAGCTCACATGGTTACCAATGTTATGTGAACGTTCCAGGAATCTAGGCCCACAATATTGGAAGTGCTGTATGTCCCTGTAGCACAGTACGCTACGCATGTACAGCACTAGAAACGGGCATGGGAATGGGGAAGAAAGAGGAAACTTTTGCAGACTTTAAGCTCTCGTGCTTTAGGGCAATCGGAAAAGTGGAATGGGTCATAGTGACTCTGGCAGGGGCGATTACTCTTTACGTCCTACAACCCTTCTGGGTTTAGAGTTTGGGGTTTAGTGTAAGGTTTAAGGTCTACGCCCTTAGATACCCAGCAGACATGGGCCCCAGTGCTTGCAAACTCCGACTTACTGATGGTTCGTATGGAACGGAGGGGACGGCCCCTATGATTTTTGTACACAACGTTTGCCCCTATGTAGCCCCTTTCATAATCCTTTCCGTCCCCCAAATCCTGCCTTCCCTAATCTCCACCAGTAACTTACCAGTGGTTAGCAGGGAATGCAGGAATGAATCTGCATACTGTAGTAGACCCTGTACAATCCTCCACAATACTATTGTCGAGCTGCTTTTCCATTCCTTCATTCTCTGCTATCCAGATGTGGTAGTTGCCCTCCATAAGAGGACCCAAATTCAGGCCCACCCCCCAAAGAAAATTCTGAGAAACCCCCAAGATAAGCCAAGGACCCCCGCCCCGCCCCGCCCCACCGCCTCTTGCGGTGTGGACCCTGCGGCGACCGCCGCGCGGATGGCCCGCTCAGCTGCGGCTAATGCCTGAGATGCCCTACTTGCTGGGGTTTAGTAGGGAATAAGGGAGCCCATAACATGGGGATTATAAAGGACTTGCAAGATATTCCCGCATTCCCTACTAACCACCGGTGAGACTATCACTCACCTCTTCCGAATAAACTTACTGGCGGGTAGTAGGGAATGAGGGAAGATAATCTCTACATAATACATTCCTTTATTGCATTATACCCCCCAGTAAGTTAAACATCCCCGACCCTCTAATATAGATTATGACCGCCTATGTCAAGCCATGGGCTGATGCGGAATATTCAATATTTGCCCTAAACCCTAAACCCTAAACGTGTGGTATCCAAGACAAGAGGGAGGCTATTACTGCGGGGAGTTGTCATTGGGAAACTGCACAAACGTGTCACAATGCTGATGGCAATATCAAGAACCATCACAAGCCGGAGTAGTGTTCAAACGATACCGCTCATGAGGATTGTGATGATGATGCTGATGATGATGATGATGGTGATGATCATGATGACGGCTATGGTGTGGTGAAAAAAGTCAGATTTGCCGCAAGTCCTGCTTGAACGGTTCTTGGGATGATAGCACTGCTATGCTGCCAGCGGTCACATGACAAATTAGAAGCATCAAGATTCTGCTCAGCCAGCCTCCCCTGCGCAACCACATGGTACACATTGCCCTCCACAGGAGCTGTAATCAAAACTCCGAGTATCCCCCATATAATCCTTTATATACAGTCCCCCTTAAGTAGATAGACTATGGCTTTGGGTATATTCTAATAAGATCCCCATATACCCCATATTCTATCTACTAAAAGGCGACTATAACCCTCTTTAAGGTAGCTCGCATGGGTTCTAATGAAAGCTTATAGTCACGGGTATACGGGGATCCCTATTTAGGGTTTCGGGTTTAGGGCACCCCATGTGGGGCCAATAGCCTTAGAACTCACTAATGTAGACCCCTGATTCATAAACGCCCTCCTTGTAAGGGCTTTACTATTAGGATCCCTATTATAATCCATGTTCAAGGGATGGGGGTTTATTAATGAGGCGTCTACATTAAACCCTACACGGCTAAGGCTTCGTAGCAAAACGGACACTGATAAGCATGATACTAAGAATGAGAACATGCTAACAAGAATGATAACGAAAACAATACCGATAAGGACTTATGTTTTTCAATTTCTTCTACGGACAACAAGTACTACTACCATTCTTATTTCGCTACTACTGTGGTTACTTCTAGTATCATTACTCCCCTAAACCCTAAGCCCTAAACCAAACCCTAAACTTTGTGGATAAGTTAGGAGGACCGCCCACCCTGTGTTATTGATATAATAGGAATATAAGAGGTCCCTAGTATAGTTACCACTATCCCTTATAGTCACTATTACAGGGTTGGGGGTCCTCCTAATGGATAAGCCCTACTCCCCTAAACCCTAAACCCTAAACCCTAAACACTAAACCCTAAACCCAACCCTAAAACTTTGTGGATAGACCCCTTAACGCCTCTTCGATGGGGCCATCCGCCAGAACGCCTTCCACGCCGCTGCGGAGCCTCTCCCGCAACCTCTCACAGCAGGCAAGGTCCAAAAGCTTAGAGCTTTAGGCTGTCGGCTTTACGGGGTTTAGGGTTTAGGGTTTAAAAGTTTAAGGGTTTAGGGTTTAGGGCCTTTATCCCATTACCATGTATAACCCTTATGTAGTCATTATATAACCCCCTGTATCCCTAGGATGTCCCCATATTACTCCCCATGAGCTAGAAGGGTCCCTATTAGGGGTCCCTCCTAAAGTCCTTAGACTCGACTCACAGCAAGCAAGGTCCAGAAGCTTTGGGTTGTAGGGGGTTTAGGGCTTTAGGGAGTTTAGGGTTTTAAGCTTTAGTGGGTTTAGGGTTTAGGGTGTAGGGTTTTAGGTTTTTTTTTAGGGTTTAGGGGTTTAGGGTTTTAGGGTTTAGGGCTTTCGGGTTTAAGGGTTTAAGGGTTTAGGGCTTCAGGGTTTAAGGGTTTAGGGTGTCAGGGTCTTTTGAGCTTTAAGAATTTTAGGGTTTAAGGATTTAGGGATGTTGGGTTTCAGGGGTTTAGAGCTTTAGGGCGTTTGGGGTATGAGGAATGGGGGTTTCAGGGTTTAAGGATTGGGGGTTTGGGCTTGCCGTTCTCCTCAACAGGTCAAGGTGTTTCATGCAATCAGCTGAGAAGGGATTTCGCAAGTTAGAATTCCCTTCGAAAAGATGGCTCAGGGCTTAGGCTTGGGCGGCTTAGAGTTTCAGATTTAGGGTTTAGGAATCAAATACTAACAAACAACGCTTGAGGTTCTGAATTGCAAGCAGTCGGCTCAAAACCTCCAAGGGTTTTAGGGCTTAGGATATGGGGTTTGGGGTTTAGGGCTTGGGATTCAGGGTTTGGGGTTTAGGGCTCGTCTAGGCAACATCCTTTTGCACCATAGAGAGATGAGGTTTTCGCTTCCAAACGTGTCCATAAACACAAGCCACAAGCCTATCAAGTAAGACACTCTTCAAATCAAAGCCCTGCATCCCTCCCTAAACGTTGAGACCTTATGGTTTTCTAGTCTTGGATATCCCCCGAATTCCCCTGCATAAATCCAGATTCCATGTCATTTTGCATTTTCTGTTCCAGCTGATTCTCCATTAGTGGGCCTTGTATGGTACACTTCTGCATCCTGGCCCCTTTGCCGCAACCCAAATCCAAATTCCTTCTAGGCGAGGGGGTCTGTGCGCTACTGGACAGTGTTACATAGGAGCCTACCATGACTCGTCATGCCTCCAAACCTCCTCCCTCCCCGCCTCCAAGGCCATTTGCTGACACCCCCCAAATACTACGGCCTCATCCAACCCTAAACCCTAAACACTAAAGCCTACAAGACCCATACGAAAATAGGACTTCTAATAGTGATTCTAGGTAAAAATGGCTATGAGTTTGCAACTTGCCCGAGCTCATGGTGGCTAGTAGGGAATAAGAGAATACAATCCTTACATAATGCGTCTATCATATATGCCTTATTCCCTACTGACTCTAAACCCTAAACCCTGAATCCTAAGCCCTGAACCCTAAACTCTAAGCTCTAAACATCTCTAAACCCTAAATCCTAAACCCTAACTAACCCTGAACCCTAAGCCCTGAATCGTAAGCCCTAAACCCTCAACCCTATGCCCTAAACCCTAAATCCTAAAACCTGAGCCCTAAATCCAAAGTCCTAAACTCTAAACCCTTAAGCCTAAATTCTATGCTATATCTCCTTCTTGTCAGCGAAGGGAGCCTGGCATCCTCAGGTGGTGGCGGCAGAGGGACCGGGATGGCATCAGAGACGGGCTTGTTGTTGAAGGCCATGAGGATGTAGGCCTTCAAGGGTTTAGGGTTTAAGGGTTAAGGGTTTAGGGGTTTAGGGTTTAAGGGTCTAGGGTTTTAAGGGTTTAGGGTTCAGGGTTTAAGGGCTTAGGGTTTAGGGTTGTATAGGGGGTATATAGGGGTTATATAGGATTTAGGGTGGTTGAAGGTTGTATATTGGGATAAGGGAAAAGGAAAACGGAAACTACTATATTATATAGGGGTTATATGATGTAGGCCTTCTAGGGCCGGTTGAAGGTTGTAGCGTTTAGGGTCTAAGGTTTAGGGTTTAAGGTTTGAGGATTAGGGCTTAGGGCTTAAGGTTTGAGGTTTAGGGCTTAGGGTTTAAGGTTTAGGGCTTGGGTTTTGAGGCTTAGAGTTTTTAAGGTTCAGGGTGTAAGGCTAACCCTAAACCCTACACCCTTAACCGCATAAAGGTTCTAGGGTTTTAGTTCCTATCAGGTCTGTTGTCGATGGCCATGATGATGTAGGCCTCTGGCTCTCCCTTGGTGCTTCCAAAAAGTTTGGGGGAGTGAACATGAGGTACTAGAACACGTCCCAGGGCTTAGGGCTAGGATTCAGGGTTTAGGGTGTAAATAGAGATATATACACATGTACAGAGAGCTGTATGTATATATATATATGTATATACATATGTATATTACATATATACATATACATATATACACATATGGAACTGTTTCGAAGCAGTAGCGTGCAGGGTACAAGGATTGGGGCTTCCACGCGCTGTGCGGCTAGGGTATGTACCCCAAACACGGAACATGCCTTTCTTTCCGCAGAAAGTTTGGGATAGGCAGGATTTCCAGAGTTCAGGGTCTACGGCACGAAGGGTTTGGTCTGTGTGGAGTGCTAAAGGGTCCCTACATATTCCTCTACACCCCTTTAGGGGGGCGCCCTAGATTAGACTACCTCTTAGATACGGAGTATCGTATGTTGGGGTCTATTTTGGGGTCCCCCTAGTTATGGAAACTACCATATACTCAAAACCCTAAACCTAAACCCTCAAGCCCAGATGAAAACAATTCGTATAATATAGGGCAAAAGTTGAAACGGAAACTCGCTCATAACCCAATCAGAACTCTTGACCCGAACCCTATACAATTTGTATTAAATGTATTTTCCCTCAAATGGGTGGCTCCATGTCTGCTTGCGGGAGCGCCTCATGCCGGCCGTCAGCCACTGCAAGCAAAGTATGCAGCAACGCCCCGCAAGAGTGGCCCACCGCCGCGGAAGGAAAGTCCTGCGGGGCGCTACGGCTTTGGGAGTTTGCAAGCTACGGTTTGGTTTAGGGTTTAGGGTTTAGGGTCTTTGGATTTGTTTTGCAATGTAGGTTTGGGGGTGTAGGAACCCATACATCATGTGAAGGCAAGGTTCAGTTGCGGAAAGGAGCAATGAATCTTCAGCATGCTTGACAAGAAACTCGAACCGAACTGCAACCCTTACCGCCTATTCCTACACTGCAAGCTTCAGAACCCAAAGGGTCCAAAGTACCAATATGGTACAAAGTATGGTTTCTGTAGTAGTAATTTCCCTTATGGTTTGGGTAAGTATTCCCCCGAGTATTCCCCATATGGGTACTTAGGACCCTTTGGGGAAGCAAACCCTTTCCCGAAAGCCTTCACAGCTTGGACAATAAGTTCACGCCCAGACAGCTCCAAAACAATCCCGACACGGCCGCAATAATCTCCACATGATTAAAAAGACTGTACTCGAAACCCCAAGGCAGGGAACCCCAGGAATCTTGGGGTTCCCTGCCTTGGGGTTCCCAATAAAGTCCCTCTAAGGTTTGGGCCTAACATATCCGTCATAGAAACCGGGTCAGACCCGAATTCCATACTGTTTGTTTCTATGTTTGGACACTTAGCTCCGGACTCTAAACACTAAATGCGCACCTCTCCTTAAGGGTCGGATCCTGCATTGCCAACTCATCCACGACCTTTGCATGCTGGAAGATCAGGCGTTCGTTTGGGCTAGCGCTTGGATTTTAAGTCAGGATTTGGGGATGTAGGATTCAGGGCTAAACGGTTAGAATTCGGTGGTCAAGGTCTTGTTTACCGCACACCCACGACAAGCTGTGCCAAAACGTAGTCTACCAACCTCAATATGTAGTGGTGTACTTGACATATTACACATATATATATATAGATGTATATGTATATATAGAGGATGTGCCCATGTATAAACAAGTCTATATATATATATGTAAAAGCACACGTGAATCTTAGACACTTGGACTAGAGGTGATAAGTGCTGCACCATTTCGAGTTTGTATGAGGAAGCCCTCTTTCCGCACACAATTCGGACTTGGAGAAACGTCCACGTTGCCTCAAAATTATAAACCCCAAAGGGTCCAAAGTACCAATATGGTACAAAGTATGGTTTCTGTAGTAGTAATTTCCCTTATGGTTTGGCTAAGTATTCCCCATATGGGTACTTAGGACCCTTTGGGAACCACCATCATGGTTAGGCTGACAATAACAACCATAATAAAACAAATCACAATAGTACTCTAAGGAATTTGGAACCCCAGTAGAAATTCTAATTTCAGCTGAATATAAGGATTCTAGGTAACAGAAATCAAAAATTATGTTCAGGAACCTTGTAGAGTAAGCTTGGAAGGGAGCGCCGCCTTAAATATCTAGAACCCCCCAAAAAATGGTACCGAAGCCCAGTCTAAGAGGATTGCAAACACCTCCCGCTACTAAGAGACATTAAAACACATCTCTCCAAATAGTCACAAAATATCCCCTTTAATACATTAAGGTACAATATTCTTTTTTAGGGTTGGTGGGATCCATTCCAAAACCAAAGGGAGGTGATTACTTAAAGATAAGCCCTATAGCCCTAAAACTAACCCTAAACCCTAACCGAAACCCTGAAACTCTAAACCTTAAACCTAAGGCCTATAACCCTAAAACCTTAACCTAAGCCTTAAACTCTAAACCTTAAACAGAGCTAGTCACCTGGCCAAACTTGCCCGAGGTGTCTGAGGCCATGGAGTCGTAATCAAAAGTCAGTTTGTAGGGCGTTGCCACCATGATGGCCTCTCACACTAAAGAATTTGGAGCTCAGGGCAGTTAAAGCCTACAAAACCTTAAACAGGACTCTTTATTCGAAAAGGTCCACAAAAAGTCGACCAACCCCCCTCATTTCTTTAGCAAACCCCTCCTTCAAATACCCAAAGAATGCCAATCCTACCCTAAACCCAAACATTGAGCCCTAAAGTCGTTAAATAATACCTCTACATGGAGCCTCAGGGTTGGTGGTGTCAAGGGAGAGATGAGTAGCTGAACCTTGTAAGACTATATTCCTTATATAAATACTATACCCCAAAGGGAGGATATAACATTACTCTATATTGGGTACCATACCCAAAGGGTCCATGTAGCTATCTGGTATAAACTTGCCCCTTAAAGTAGGTCTATGGGTATATACCATATACTTACATGGACCCTAAACCCTAAACCCCTAAACCCCTTATGCCTACATTGACCCTTTGGGATAGTATCCCCAAATAAAATACTACCCAGATGGGTCCCTGCAGCCTAAGCTCTGGAGCAGCTGGAGGGTTTAGGGTTAAGTGTTTAGAATTTAGGGTTTAGGATGTAGGGTTCAGGGTTAAGGATTTAGGGTTAAGTGTTTAGGATTTAGGATCTAGGATTTAGGGTTCAGGGTTAAGGATTTATGGTTTCTTAGCCCACATTCCCCTAGGAACAAAAAAGGATCCTTTTTGCAGAAATATAAGGAATCCCATACCCCCAAAAAGTAAAAAGGATCCCTAACATTGATCCAGGTTTAGGGTCAATCATTTCGGGCGTAGGACTTAGGATGTAGGGTTCAGGGGTAAGGATTTAGGACTAAGGTTTCCGGATTTAGGGTTCAAAAGCAAGGCGCTGGATCTAGGGTAAAAGGACCAAACATGGTAGTTCCCCCCAAATCCAAGGTTTGAGTTTGTGGTTTAAGGTTTAGGGTAGTCCCCCCCAATAGGGTGACCCCAATAAATACCCCCGAAAGACGATACTCCTTGTCATGAGACTCCCCACAATGGTATCCCTAAATGTTGGCGAACCCCCCGTATTCTATGCCCAAGCCCTTCCCAAACCCTAAGCCCTGAACCCTATCTATCCCTATACACCCTCATAAATCCCCTACATCCCCTTTTTGAAGATAACCCTAAACCCTATAAACCCCTCTACCTTCTAGATTCCCTCTTTAATGGAGCCTCGCACTCTTCTGCAAGGCTTTCTAAGAAGTCGTTGTAAAATGTCTTCGGGGAGGCGCCAACGAAAGCACCGGCAATGAAGTGAACAAACCTTGGTAAAGTCGCAGGACTTTGGGTCAAGGTTTCAATTTGATTCGAATTTGAACTAGCGCATATGGAGCCCTGATGAGTCTTTCGATACTTCATTTTAAAACCTGAGCGAGACGCTGGAATGTTCAAAGGCAGAACTGCTGGGAACAAAACACGCGGTCGAACCCTTCGACGAAACCACAAACCAAAAGTCTTCCATGCCTTATCATGGCGGCTGTACATGAGCTATAGTCTACACTCCTCGCATCCTCCTTACAAACCCTATAATAGTCCCCTATATAAATAATCCCATGTTACCCCGCTTTAAGGAGTTTAGACTATAGATCTTGTCGTAGCTCGAAAGATTGCCCACCCTAGGCATTCTTTATAGACTTAGATTCCCAACGTAAAGCCCCACCTAAACCTAGACCCTAAACCCTAGACCCTAAACGCTAAACCCTAATCCCTAAACCCTAAGCCCTAAACCCTGGAGCCCTCCCGCCTCTTGGGAGCCGCAGGAACGAAAACTGGACATCCAGAGACTTCTTGCCAGCCAACTGTTGGGGGTTAAGGGTTCAGGGTTTAGGGTGAATGGAAAAGAAAATGGAAACTACTACATTATGTAGGGTTTAGGGTTTAGGGTTGAGGGTTCGCTTGGAGGGTCAGGGGGACTGAGTAAATCGGTCAAGAAGGGAGGATAATCAGGGTTACTATAATGTGGGTTAGAGGGGTTATTATCTTACTTACTAAGTAACCCTCACCCTAAACCCTCAGCCCTAAATCCTAAACCCTGAACCCTAAACCCTAAGCCCTACGCCCTACGCCCTAAACCCTGAACCCTAAACCCTGAACCCTAAACCGAAACCCTGAACCCAAAACCCTCGACCCGAAACTCCAAACCCTATGCTGGCCTATACTTACTTTGTTTCCCTGGCCCTCCGAGCAAGGTTTACGGGTCACCCAGCCATGATCTGGGGCATCTCTGTTGCTTAATTGCTGTGTACTTTCAGGGTTTAGGGGTTCAGGGGCTTAGGGGCTAGGGTTTAGGGCTTAGGGGTTTGGGGGTTTAGGGTTTAGGTGTTTAAGGGTTCAGGGTTCCAGGCTTACAGGAAAGCTCAAAACAACCGAGCAACCCTAACCTCTGAGCCTCTATCCAAACCCTAAACCCTAAATCCTAAAACGTAAGCCCTAAACCTTAAACCCTAAAACCTAAATCCTAAAACGTAAGCCCTAAACCTTAAATTTTAAACACTAAACCCTAAATCCTAAACCTTAAACCCTAAACCGTAAAGCTCAAACCCTAAACTTTAGACTTAAGGATCCCCCAGCCCAACCCTAGAACTCTTAAATCCTAAGCCCTAAACTCTAAGCCCTAAACCCAATCCTGAACCCCAATCCTTAAACTCTAAAGCCTTTGGGGATTAGGGTTTTTAGCATAATCGGCATTTTTTATGGTTATTATTCTCATTATTATTACTGTGGTTACTACTATTGTTACTCTTACCACCAATCCCGCCGTACACCTGAACCAATCCCGCCTGGTACTCTTGGGGATGCAGGGGTCACAGGAGTCTCCACGTCCACAACTTCGGCCCTCTGTGCCACGAACCGCTGGCCCCTGCATTGACGGCTCTGGGTCGGTTTTACGGTTTGAGGGTTTAGGCATTTAGGATTTACATAGGGCTTAGGGATTTAGGGTTTAGGGATTTAGGGTTTAGGGTTAAGGATTTCGGGTGGTTTCGGACCCTTTACTACCCAAGGTAGGTACACCGCAAAATACTTCAGGATGCCTGCTTTCAACAGGGGATTGTGTATGGGTGCCTCAGCATTACTAAAATTCCAAAACACGGGCGCAATCTGTAACAATGGCTAGGCAGGAATACAGGCTATGTATGAGTGTTTTGCTATTTATGCACTGTGCCGAAAGACCTCTAAACCCTATGCATTTTCATTCCAGTTGATGGTCGCTCGAGGAAGATGCAAAAACGGCCTCTTTATGCCCTGCAAGGGCATCATGTCTTTCATTCCTGTAGTAATTCATAAATGATGCGCTTTTGAATTGTCCGAGTGACCGACAGCATAAACCGTAAACCCTACACCCTAAACCCTAAACCCTAAACCACCCTAAGCCGTAGTAGCAACCCTGAATTCACCCCTCAAACCCTGAATCCCTAAACCCCTCAAACCTTGGATCCTATACACCTAAACAGTAGTTTTCATTTTCTTTTCCATTATCCCAATTATACCTCTCAACCCTGACCCCAAACCCTAAGCCCTATACCCCTCAACCCTTGAACCTTTTTCCAAGCTCCCCTGGCCTTCGCCGCGCCTGGGCCCCAGCGCCCCCACAGAAAGCGGCCAGGAGTGCGGAGGAGCTGCTGTGGCAGCGCTCGAGGTGGCCGGCGTGCCGGCTTCCTGGGGCTTAGAATTTCGGATGTTCTTCTCCAGTGTTCAAGGCTTTTGGGGTTCAGGGTTTGGGGTCTAAGGTTTGGAGTTGAGGCTTTGGTGGTTCAAGTTTTTGGTTTTAGGTTGAAGGTTCTGGGGTTGCCGATTAGGGCTTATCGCTCGGGGGGTGGTAGGGACAATCGGGGTAATCCGTACAGTCGTGGCAGTATAGTATTACTATTCGCTATGTTGGATGGGAAGAGGACGGGCAGTTATGTGACGATGATATTTGGACTAGTACGGGTGTCAATAGGGACTTACCAAACAAAGACAGTAGCAATGTTTCGGATGGTCATAACGCGAAGTTAGACAGGTGAAAACTAGAGGTCTTGCAGGCCTGCTGTTATTGATTGGTGGTGTTCATGTGTATTCATCGCCTGAATCAAAAGCTTGAACAGCTCTAAGTCTAGAGCTTCATCAGAGGCTTATTTAACGTTTAGAGCTTAGGGTCTATGCCATGGGTCTATGGCTTCGGGATTAGAATTAGGACTTGCAGTTGGCGGCGTGGACTTGACTTAGCGGCTTGCCGACCCTTGCTCACGTGAAAAGAAAATGGAAATACCCAGAAGGCTACTTTTGCTTAGAGTGTGCATGAAGACGCAATGGCAGCAAATTCTCCTGTGACCTTTGGCACACTTGTAGCAACTAAAATGTAACACTTCCAAGATACTTTTGAATCCTTCAGAGCAAGCAAAAGAATACAACTTCGAACTCCAGCTTCCGACTTCCGCCTGCAATCGCACGTGCTGCTGAATTTGCGTCTTTGTTGGAGCCAGCGCCGGAGACAACATCATGGCCAAAGACGCCGGCTCGGAAAATGGCTATGGGAGCTACCCAAAGGATCTTGATCCCAAACAGGCAGGCTGAACGCCTTGAGGTCAGGCAGCTAAAAGCCTCATGCAATGTCTCAACCCATTGAGGCTTCTGCTGATTCCAATCTACCAGCCTGGAGAATTTTGATTCACTGGGGGCGCGGTATCTGCTTGCGACGTCCCAGATTAGCCGCCATAGGCCTTAGACCCCGACCCAGAAGCTTGGCTGCGCATGAGAACCCTGCCCAAAGACAGACTATGTGAGACATGTGGGCTGTCGTGTTTTGTTTTGTTGGATCTGGCTTGAGTAACTTTCAACAATTACCAAGAAACCCAAAGCTCAAAAACAAAAGCACGACTGATGTTGTCCACTTGAAAACAATGGGGCTTTGGCAACCCCCAGCTCCTATCATGTAATTCACCCAAAACCCTAAACCCTGAACCCTAAGCACTAAATCCTAAACCCTAAACCCCATAAGAAAGCCTCCCGGACCATATGCCAGGAGATCAATGGGCAGGCCGCCCACAAAGCGCAGTAGATGCTCATCTAGGAAGGGATGCCTGACAAAATAGGGTTTAGGGTTTAGGGCTTAGGGTTTAGGGTTTAAGGTTTAGGGTTTAAGGTTTAGGGTTTGGGATTTAGGGTTTAGGGTGGAAGCCTGGTCAGGGCCTACTTGGAGGGTCAGGGGGACTTAGTAAGTAGGTTAATAACCCCTATAACCCATGTAGTAACCCCAATTATCCCCATTATTAACCTACTTACTAGGTTACTAAGTCCACTTGACCCTCCCTAGAACAAATTTCACAGCATGTCATAGTCACCCCTAGGGTCAGGGCGGGCTTGCGCCTTAAAATGCCCGGGCCCTCAATCATAAGCCCAAAGCCTTTGATTTCGAAGCCTTTGATTTCAAATTACATTTTAACCAAACCTAGAATATCTTAGCCCAGAACTAACTGCCCTTCATGGGGTCTACGTAGGTCTCGTTTGTGGATGCTTAGGCTCCAAAGATGGTACTTGAGGGCTCTAGGTAAACCCGAAGCCCACCCAAAAACCTAAATCTCACCTAGAGCCTCCTACGTGCTTATCTTATAGTCGTACGTTGTAATCCATCACCCAAAAATCACAACAAACCCAAGCAGGAACTACGCGGAAGCCCTTGGATACTATAAACCCAAAACCCTTTATATCCCGATATAACCCTACATCCCACTAAAAGGACCTACAGAGGAGCATTAACACTAAATCACTAAAGCTTAAACCCTAAACCTATAACCCCCATATCCCCCTAAAAGGAACTACAGAGTAGCATAAACCCTAAACCCCTAAAGCCTAAAGTCGAAACCTACATATAACCCCTATATCCCCCGACAAAGAACTACAGGAGCAGCGTAAACCCTGAACCCCTACAGCCTAAACCTTAAATCTATATATATATATAACCCCTACATCCCCCTCAAAAAAACTACAGAAGAGTATAAACCCTAAACCCCTACAGGCTAAACCCCAAACCTATCATCCCTGTATCTCCCCCAAAAGAAGCTATATCCCCATATAACCCCTGTATCCCCCGAAAAAGGAGCTACAGAAAGACATACACCTCACCTTGCTTCGCGGCCGTGGTCTGCGATGATCCGGTCGTCGCGCCCAAGGTTTCCTTGGGTGCTTACACTGGGTTGCTGTTCAGGAACTTAGGTTACCCTAGTATGAGCTATAGTCTAAACTCCTAGTATCCCCCCTAATATCCCCTAAAGCAGTCCCCTATATAATCCCGTATATAACCCCCCTTTAAGGAGTTTAGACTATAGCTCATATGGGGTTTAGGGTTCAGGGTCTAGGGTTTGAGTTGCTGCTAGGGAACATAAATTGAATTACCATAATATGGGGTTTTAGGGCTTAGGGTTCAGGGTTCAAGTTACCATAATATAGGGTTGAAGGTTTCGGGCTTCAGTTACCATGAATGTAGGGTTTAGGGTATAGGGTTCAGGGTTGAGGGTTTCAGTTACCATAATATGGGTATATGGTAAATAATAGGGTCTCCCAAGAATGGTAACTTGGTTTAAGGTCCTGAACAGCAAGCTAGTGCAAGCCCTAGGTTCGGTGCGGAGTGTTGTCAAGATGAGTGTTACCTGCAGCCCCAAGTACCTACAGGCTTCTGGGTTATACGGTAACAAGTACTTATGAAAGGCGTAAGAGCTACTGAACTGTAGGAAATTGGGATTCTACTGGTAAGACAGTTGAAGGTACCTGTTCCCTTGCGGCCCGGGCGCGCGTCCACAGCCGCTGCAGATCCTTGCGCTCTATCAAGAATCAAGTTTAGGGTGTAGGGTTTAGGGTTTAGGCAACGGAGGGTTCAGGTAGAAGTTTACAAGCGGAAAGTTTTATGAAAGGGCAGGGGCAAGCGGAGTCAATAGGTGATGTCTGTGGAGCTAACCTTTCCTGGATGCTCTGATGGGGCGGACATGACGAAACTACTATATAGTATATTGGGGTCATATAAGGGGTTATATTAGGATTTATGGAAAAGAAAATGGAAACTACTATATAGCATATTACTGAGGATCTCTTTTGAGAACACGAAATTGTTTATACATTTGCGTACAAGTGCCGGCGCCTGAACCCGAGTCGGTTGGTCGGATGTTCTGGACATCTACATGTTGCGAAAATCGAAAGCCTTCCCTCAGTTTTAGGGGGTACCTTTTAAAAGGGTTGTATAGGGGTCATATGGGGATTCTTGGGCGTTTAGGGGATAGGGTTTCCCAACAATTGCTCGCCACAATTGTCGCTACGTGGTTGAATCTCAGAACTGCTCTTCAGAATCCACTTGAAAGTTCATGAGTATTCTAAGTCAAGGCTTGGAAGCTCCAAAAATCAGGATATGACCATCCTTCATGCACCCCCAAACATAACTGTTGTGCCCTAGAGGCCATCGCAACCTGGCTAAACACTTTTAAGACCTCTACTGACCCCACGCCCCAAACAAAACCTTACTTACTGATTCTTAGCAGGGGAAAAGGGGAATATCTTCTACAGGGTTTAAAAAGAGCTTATATCCCTATATTCGGTTATTCCCTACTGTGATCAAGTAAGCCCATGTACCTGCCTCAAACACAACTTCTGGTAGATCCAGAACCTGTACACGTCCCGGGGGCCCAATATAGCTTGATTAAGGAATATACCTTAAACCATATTAAGGGCCCTTGTATATGTTAAGGTATATTCCTTAATTAGGCTACATTAGGCTCTCTGGGGTTCTGCCCAATCATATACAATATCCACCAGCGGTCTTCGTGCAACATGTCTGTCATCCCCGCAGCATCGCTTGCTGCCTTACCCTTCCATGAATTTCAACATTCTATGCAGGGGCTAAATTGGGTGTGTATATATATATATAGGAGCTTTCTAGGGGCTATGTTGGGGTTCTATCGGGGCTATATATATTGGGGTTACCTACAAAAAGCCTGGTACATTAGGGGGCATGCTGTGGTATTTGGTGGATGCAGGGAGGTCCGAATAATTTGACCTTTGGGGGAAGGCATCTGTACCCACAATGCCCTTAAAGACCCCTAAACCCCCAAATCCTAGAGTCCTAACCCACCCTTAGACTGCAACCCCTCAACTCTTAACCCTGACACCTAAACGCAAAAGCCCCCCCAAAAAACGATAAATCTGGTCCTTCAGCATCTCGTCACGAGTGCCTTCTGCTCCGCGCTTGACGCGGGCGGTGCGGTGGCCTAGCTTCGGGGCATGCTAACGAAGCCCCTGACACGTTCATAGCGTTTGGGGTTTAGGAGGTTCGGAGTTAAGGGTTTAGGGCTTTTTAAGACAGAGTTTTGGGGTTTGGGGTTTAAGCCTTTGGGGTTTACGGTGTGAGGAACTTCTGCAAAGGACCCTTGACCTGTGCAGGTTTACTGTGAAGTATACTGGTAACTAGAAGTTGTTGAACCCCAAATGCACCCTCACCCTAAACCCTAAACCCAAAATAGTATTTAGTAGTTTCCATTTTCTCTCCATTATCCCAGTATAAACCATATAACACCAATATAACCCCCATATAACCCTAATATACAGGGGCTGTAGGATACAGGCTGGCTATGCTCGGTTCTTTCCCACCCCCCCACCGCAAAAGACGAGTTGTCCTTGTTTGGGGGGAAAAAAGTTTGGAAGGGCCTGGGTGCTGACTCTAAACCCAGAACCCAGAACCCTAAATCTGAAAACCCCGATCCTCGGCTCTTCCATCGTTTGACGTGGGAAAGCCCATGCCTTTCACCAAAAGATCGGCCGTGCTACTTCGCACTGTGCGCCAGCCCCATCTCATTTCGGTCAGCTCATAAACTTCCACTGTGTGATGCCCAAAGTGGACTGTGTATAGAAAGGTGTCCTTTCAGAAAGGGCTGATTAGGAGTTCATGTTGGCTGGGGCGGCGAGATACTGAAACCCTAAACCCTAGAACCTCAAAAATCAATCCTAAAACCCAAAGTACTAAACCCTAAAATCCTAAACCCAGGATCCCTAAACCCTAACCCCCCCCTTCCCTAAAACCCAATGGCAAGGTAACTGCCGGCCAGGTCGCGCGAGTAACCGCCCAAAAGCTCGTCAGCTCCTCGCAGGGTCTGGAAGCACTTCCCCAAAGGGTCCGAAGTACCCATATGGTACAAAGTATGGTTTCTGTCGTAGTAATTTCCCTTATGATTTGGGTAAGTATTCCCCATATGGGTACTTAGGACCCTGTGGGTTCGCAGCTATCCCTATTGGTGGTTAGTAGGGAATGAGAGAATTAACTTCCTACAATGAACACTCTATATGGCATACTCCCGTATTCGATACTAGCCACCAGTGAGTGTCCGAAAGAAGAACTAAAAGAATTGAGACTGTAAAAATTGGGGTTTAGAGTGCCCTGGGGGAACTGGGGTGCAAGAATAGAGGTTTAGGCTAATTATTGAGTACAAGACTTCCAAAATTCTAGGTAGAAGTGGTTGTGGTATATTTTCAATATGATCTACTCATACTTTGAATGTTTTCCCAGGCTTGGGTTGCCGTAGGCGCTTCGCTCCTCATCACGTGAGCTATGATCTCAGCTCATAGGTGGGGGGGTTCCTGGAACCCCTACTTGGAGGAGGGTCAGAGGGTCAAGGGGACTTCGTAAGCAGGTTAATAAGCCCTATGACTCAAAGAGGAACCATAACTATCCACATTATTAACCTACTTACTTAATCCCCTGACCCTAAACCCTAAACCCTAAACCTACTTACGAAGCGTACTTGACACTCCAAGTATTCCGCTTCAACATGCCAAGCATTGACACTGAGTGCACGACCTGTACCAATGAGGAGGACGCGGCTGGCTGCTCGCACTTCTACTGCCTGAGAGTACTTGGAGGGTCAGGGGGACTTAGTTAGTAGGCTAACACCCCTATAAGTAGGCTAGGGTTTTAGGGTTTAGGGTCAGGGGGTAGTAAGTAGGTTAATAATGGGGATAATGAGGGTTACTAAATAGGTTATAGGGGGTATTAACCTACTCACTAAGTGCCCCTGACCCTCCAAGTAGGGTGTAAGGTTTCAGGTTTAGGGTCAGGGATTAGCTTTGTGGGGTAAAATACTATAAAAGGATGGATAACCAAACCCTGAATCTTGAAGTCAAGACCCTTAACAGCAAACTCGAGACTCTAAATCCTAACCCTTTCACTCAACACTTTTCGCTTAACCCCAAACTCTAAACTCAAAAACCTGAACCTTGAATTCAATAACCTGGACAACAAACTCCCGGCTCTAAATCCTAACCCTTTCAGTCAAAACCTTCCCCTTAACCCCAAACTCTAGACTCCAAACCCTAAACCTTTAAACCCTAAATAGTAATAATAATAATAAGAATAAAAACGATAGTAAGAATAATCGTAATCGTAGTCGTAATCGTGATCGTGCTCGTAACAACAACAGTAATAGTTAACCCTAAGCCTAAACAGTTGCTTCCATTCTCTTTTCCATACTCCTATATAATCCCAACATAACCCCCTAAACCCTAACCCTATAAACCCTAAACCCTGAAGCCCTAAACGCTAAGCAAAGCCCTAACCTTAAACCCGAAAGCCTAAGGTTAAGGGCCATTATAGCTATATACTCCTACATAATCACTATGTAATGCCCTAAACCCTAAGCCCCTGACCCTACACCCTAAACCCTAAACCTATAAACCCATAAGCCCTAAACCCTAAATCCCTAAACCACTGAATCTATAAACCCAAAACACCCTGAGTCTGGGCATCTGAGGGTTTCTCTGACAAGCTGGAATCTGGGCAAGCTAGGCCAAGGCTTCTCTGAGTAGGGCTTGAGTTTAGGGTTTAGGGTTTTGGGGTTCAAGGATGGGGGGGGTTAGGGTTTTAGGGTTTAGGGTTTGGGGTTAAGGTTTTTAGGGTTTCGGGTTTTAGGGTTTAGGGTTTGGGGTTTAGGGTTAAAGGTTACCCAAATGCATAGCACCTTGAACCTGGTGAGATTATGTTCTACTACTTACGAAATCCCACCTCCATAGTATCCCCAAATAAGATACTGCTACATTGGACTTTAGAAGCAAACCCGAAACATCCCAAATAAACTTTTCCGGGGTTCCATCCGATTTTCTGTTCTCTTTTCCATTTGAGTCTCCATTATTTGGGGATAATACCCTACACCCTAAACCCTCATCCCTACACCCTAATCCGTAATCCCTAAACCCTAATCCCTAAACCTGAAACCCTAAACGCCTTTCTCACATAGCAATTTCAACCCCACCTCCTCGCCAGCACAGCGCCGGGCACTGAGAGAGGTGGTCATACTGGCCTGGTCCAAGTACCAAATAACAGTTAATGTAGGGATGTATAAGGATAATGGAAAAGAAAATGGAAACTACTATTTAGGGTTTAGGATTTCGGGTTTAGGGTTTAGGGACCCATGATTAATAAACTCCCCCATTTTAAGGGCCATAATATTTGCATTCTTATGGTAATCACTCTTAAGGGGAGGGGGTTTATTAATCTGGGGTCTGGGTTATACAGGGAATACATACTTATATAGGGATGCTACCCCAATAATGCTTCAGGGTTCAGGATGTAGGGTTTCGGGCTTACGGGGATCACATAGGGATACTATCCCAATAGTTTAGGGTTTAGGTTTTAGGACTCCTAATTCCCCCAAGAAATAATGGAGCTCGGCACATGTATCCCTAAACGTACCCTAAACCCTTGTTGGGCGCGCCACTTTTGGTATGCATGCAGGGTTAAGGCCAAAGGCTCCGGGCTTTGGCTGTAGGGTTTAGGGCTTAGGGTTCAGGACATGCCAGGACGAAAGAGTTCAAGCAGGAAGGATTTTGGTGGGATGCAACTTTGCGTACCACGCCCCCTTGATGCCCTAAAACCCCAAAACCCTAAGCCCTCAAACACATAGGAACAAGTTGCTGGAGTTCCCTAGCACCCCAGAAGGGCGGTTATACAAAAACTCCAAAACGCTATCCAAACCCCAACGCCGGCAAAATAATGGCACAAAAGATTGAGAACGTGGTCCAAAAGGCCATTAAGGTTTAGGGTGTGGGGTTTTAAGTTTTGGGTTTTGGGGTCTAGGGTTTAGGGTCTACGGCTGTGGGTTTAGGGCTCTCGGCTACAAAAGACTAATGTCAATGTGTGTTCCTTTCAGCGATTCTTTCGTATTTCCGACGAAGAGCTGCCTTCCCTCAACCCCTTCACGGGAATATAGAGTGGTCATATGGGTGGTTGTCAAAAGTATGGTCCCTTTTTGGGTACCCTAAATATTAGGTGCCATATTATTATAGGGATCCAAAAAAGGACCATAATTTTGACAACCACCCATATGGGACTTTATAGGGATATAGAACGAAGATGCGGGTTGTTACATGAGTACATCTCTCCTCAATCAAACGTCTCCAGGCTTGCTGATAACCACCTGCGTCCATTGCAGAGGCCTAGAAAAACCTTTTCTTCGGGGTGGTTGTTCTGCTAAAGTTAGATGAAGTTCATGAGCGAAACATGTTCCCAACCACCCAGGGTTCTTAGGGAATGGACCCCACAGTAGTCGCTATATAACCCCAAATAATAATCCCTACAATCCATTCCCCCATTCCCTCCTAAACACTAAACCCTAAACGCTAAACCTTAAACCCTAAACCCCAAACCCTAAACCCAAACCTTAAACCCTAAACCCGAAACCCCAAACCCTAAAGGGTGCAAGCAACGTGCCTCCTCTTCCGCCTCCTTCTCAGCCGTCAAAGGCATCTCCGCTCCTGCAGAGGGCGTCGTGGAATACCTAGGCCTCCCACCTACACAAATAGCCCGGCTTTGGGTTTTTTGGCCTGGGGATCCAAAATGCTCAATGTAGGTCATACTGTTGATGGATGAAATCTTGCACCACCTAGGGGCCTTAAAGTACGGTAATTCTCAGGACTTTAGGGACTTTAGGTGGTGCAAAATTCCCTCCATCAACAGTATTTACAGACTTGAGGGAATGTAGGTATTACTTGTATCCGTGGAGCCCCAGGCTCCCACCTACACCATAACGATAGCCTCTAACCCCCTAGCGAGGTGCATGTCGGTGAATACCATTAAAAGCTTTTGGGAAGTCTAGGTACATCCATGGTTGTTTTGGTGAAAAGTTACCCCTAACCCTAAATCTCTGAACCCTAAACCTCAAAACCCCAACCTACACCTTGAACCTGGACATTAGAGCCCTAGACCCTAAAACTGAAAAACCCC